CCCTCGCGGCCCCGGGGGCGCCGGGCCGGGCTGCGGGGCTCCGTTCGCCGCCCTGCGCCGGGGCCTCCCCGCGGGACACCTGAGGTGAAGCCCCTTCGGGGCGGCGGGCCTCGGCCGCGGCTGTTGCCGGGGCCCTGCGATTTCAACGACTTTTTTTGTTTTAAGGTCGTGATTAATTTCAGCAAACCATCTGCCTTTGCGTTCCTTCAGGGCCGTCCCTTGCGCTTCTCAGACGGGTCAGGGATGAGTCTAGAAAGCTTAACGCTACTTGGTGTGGTGTTTAGGTGTTTCTTACTGTACCGCCTTGTTGGAAAGGGAATTTTTAGAAAGGATACTGATCAAAAGCTGTTTTGGTTACGAATCGAGTAAACTTCGTGTACATCAAAGTGCCGAGACCCCCTCAGTCCGAATAAGTAAATAAAAATGTGCTTTTTTTAGTTGAATGAAGTGAAATGGGAGCTCTGGCAGTGCTGTGCTCATGACAGCTAAAAGAAATGGTATTTACTTCAAGCAGCTGTCTGTCCAGCCGTCGATTGAGTGATTGATTTTAAATCCCATGAAGGTTGCTGGTTGCTGTATTTTGTTTGGTTTTATCCTCTAGGGTATTAGTTTGGGGATGCTCCTTACCCATGTTGCCAAAGGTGCTTTGCTGCACCTGCATGTCTCTAGTGGCCTGAGAAAGGGCAATATTAGATATAATAATTATATGTGCTGAAAAACATGGTATACTGGGAAGATACACAGCTGAGACCTCTGCTCTTCACGTTTCTTTGCTGACATTTTCCATGATTTATCTCAGACCAGTGACCCTGTAAGGAAGCTTACATATTCAATACCCAGAACTAATGTATCCTATACTGTTTAACTGTTTGTTTTCATTGTCCTTCCAATTTTTTTTTTTCCCATTATTTTTGCTTAATGGTGAAAGAAAAATTCCATCTACGTTTATTAAGAAGCAAACAGGCCAGGAGAAAAACCAATCAAATAATGTAAAATGCTTTAATATTTTATTGTGTCTGTGGTAATGTTTTTTTTAAAACCATTTTTATTAATTAGCTCAGAGCGGTTTATGAAATGCACTTACATGCCTAGGAAGTGTGTTACAAGAAGTAGCTACTAATACTCTAGTAGCTACTAATACAACTGAGCGGTTGGGAGTCAGACTGGAGAGGGCTGTTTCTTTCACAGCAACGCTCTGATTATACTGAACATGGGCAGTCTTTTCTTTTGCTGTTCTTTGTCTTATTATTTCTGCAACCTTGCACAGTAATAAGCCGTGATCATCTTGGCTACAAATCCAGTAATCCTGTTACTCACACTGGTCCTAAACCTTGGCTGTTTGCTTAACCTTTTTGGCTTTAATTGATGGAGAAATAGTTTGAATTTATAGTGTAAAGCTGAGTTAGTGTTGCAGGGGAGACTTTAATTCTTATATTTTTCTGTCTGTCTTCCCGAGTTGTATATTAGCAATTACATGATTGTGGTTCAACAGGTGCTTAGGTATTTCCTCGATATAAGTTAAATTCATTTTTTTATACTCTTTTTGCATTGCAGGTTGAAAATGTGAAATTACTGGATCGCTATACAAATAGGAAGGCAGCAAATGGGACGTTATACCTGACGGCTACGCACCTGATCTATGTAGATGCTTCTGCTGAAGTCAGAAAAGAAACATGGGTACGTTGTGATACCTGGAGTCTGTTTAAACACAAGTATAAAAATTACTTTATATCTCGTATCCAAAATGAACAGGTTTGTGAATTCCAAAGTTGTAGTGGTCTTTTTATAGTATTTTGATGCCAACTGCTTACCAGAAACAGCTGTTTTGGAAGGAAATGAGCACAATGGTAATAGGACTTGATAGAGGTCACTCACTGAAGTAGTGTTAGTTCCAGAAACATAAAAAACTTGTCTAGTTTCCTATCTCAAACTCAATATACCAAGCCACCAAACTTGAATTTACAGCTTTTAGAAGGGCAAAATTAGCACTGAAATTAGCAGCCTTTTTTATTAATTCTAAAGTAAAATGGGAATGATGAAATATATTGCATATGGGAGTGGAGGGAAAGCAAAGTGAACCAGGTAAACTGAGCTGCCCATCAATCTCTAAAAGTAATTTATATTATATATCTGTATTTTTTCAATCTTGCTCTTAGTTACCTAGCCTTTGGGTGCACAGTCTGGATGTTTATTATGTTTGCTTGATAAATATCACAAATAAACTCATTTTCCGCTGATAGTTAGATGCAGTAAGCCTTAAATAGCTGATAGTATTGCAAAAACTCAATATCTGCTTGTACTGCTCGCAACCTTAGCAGCAGCTTCTGAAAAATGCTCTTTATTTCCTGTTTTGCAGATTTTGCATCACCATATTGCAACTGTAGAAAAATTGCCTCTGACCACGGCTGGATATCCACTCCTCATTCACTGCAAGAACTTCCACATGGCTCACTTTGTTATTGGGCAGGAACGTGACTGTCACGAAGTGTATACCTCCTTGCTTAAACTTTCACAACCAGGTATTTAGGACGGGAATCTGTTTTGGATATCGTTGAAACACTTTAAGCTGGAAGGCTCATCCAAGTACTAGCAAGAGCTTTGCCTGCCAGACTGTTGGTTTTGCAGTGTCGGTACAGGAGGGGGAGGATGTGAAATCAGAATTGGTTTCCACCACCAGAGATGATCTGTGTGGGTTGGCTCAGTAAGTAGAGTGATACCCTGTGGACCGGGGCATTTGCTTCCAAACTAAACACAAAGCTTTCGTGGCAGTGGGAATGAGGTGGTCCCGACGAGGAGCTTCTGAAGACCCGTGCAAAGTTCGTTTGCCTGACTGAGGCTGTATGCGGCATCTCAGGCTTTTTTCTTGTAGCACTCGCGCTGAGTGTCGTATCCCATACCCGGCTGTTGTCAGTCACTTCTGTGACCTAGCTGTTGGCTGTCTGTAGTTCTGCGCTTTCCAGTTGATCCAGGTGTTCACAGAATTCTGGAATCCCACAAGTAAAGCTTTAAACGTTGGCATCTTTCATTTGTTTCCCCATAGCATGTTCAGGCTGCTCTTCAGTGTTTTCTTTCAGTTGTGAAACCCTGTGCTTCACCCTGGCTGCCCTGACTCAGAGTCACCCTTAAGAGTATAAGCAAAACATCCTCAAAAGCCTGTGGTCTCTTCTGGCTTCAGCTTTTTAGTCCATCATGGATGAATCTTCAGGCTCCTTGTTCTTCTCGCAGGACAGCATTCCACCGGTTTCCTACCTGGCTTCTGTCTATGGCAGCTTCTGTTTTTGGGGCGCTCCTTCCGTGAACCAGTATTTGGAGTTTGGTGTTATTATAAGGATGCCGTTTGTAATTGTATTTTGTAATTATGTCACTAGTCTGAGGGAAGGGAATTGATGGCACCAGTCTGTTTCATGCTGGCCATCACCTAGGACTTGAATAGAAATACTGTCGTGGAAATGGTTTTTGCCGAGTTTGGGGTTTTTTTGATTGATATTAAGGCTTGGGTCTGTTCCTGGCATCTCCCTTGTGCCCTGAGCTTTGGAGTTTTCTTAGTTCCGAAGTTCTAATTCTAATGCTGTATCTGCAGGTTTCTGCTGTTATGTTTAAAAGCTGTCACTGTTCTTTCAGTTTTGAAAATTAGAGATTTATGTAGCGTCTTAAAGCGTGGGAGCTGTCACTGCAGGGGATTACATCAGTTTCTTTTGTCTTGTGGTTATTTGTGTAATATGCTGTAGGTCTTTCTTTTGTTCTATTTATGGATTTTTAACAGTTCTCTTTTGTTGTTTTGAAATTTATGTATGCTTCCTTCATGTTTTTTTGGCAGAGCATATAACTTTTTATGATTTGGCCATGTGTGATTGACAGCTATGGGTTACCTGTCCGGTAACCTGGCTACTTTATCAGACTCTGGCAGGTTTCACTCTGTCTCTGGAGCACTTGCTGCCTTGGGAATCAGCTGAATGAGTTATTGGTTGGATTTGCATTTTATGAAGAGAGGGAAGGAAATTGGGATGGTAGAGATGGAGGGAGGAAGAAATTACCATTTTTCAGGCACAGCCTGAAGCTTTTGTTGGGCTGACAGTAATATTCGAGACATCTATCAAGTTTCCCATACGGCTTGGAACTCACTGTTGAACGATGAACTTACAGGTGTGCAAGAGCTGTTTTATGAACTCTTCACAGAAAATATATCTCTTAATAATGTTTTCATTTATGGATTAATTCTTATGATATAAATCCCGACTAACATGCCTATTGTAGTGAATTCAGTAGGAAATAATTTGTTTGGGAAGAATTACTACTTTGAAGTTTTAATTAATTCTAACAGAATGTTTTGGCGTATCTCCCCGCATGTGGGAAGTGAGTATTGGAAGTTCCTGAGGATTTCAGTATGAATTGGCAGCACTCGGTACTACCCCGAGTGAAAACCTGTAAATGTGAGGTTGAGAAATTTTAAATATCTATACTCTTCTATGCAGTACTTTTTTTTTTTTTTTAGGAGTGAGAGTCAGTCTAAGTTTGCTTAGAGTAGTGAAGTATGCAAAGTGATAAAAGAAAACTTCATGCTTCCGATCTTGGAGGAGGCAGAAGCATAAGCAAAATAGCTATTATTAAAATATAGCCAACTGTGCAGTACAGTGGCATAGCCCTTTGGCTTCTTTAGTAAATGATTTGTAAGTCCCCTGATCTTTCTTGACTGCATAACTTTTTTCAGTCCTTGGATCAGTTGTGGTACACCTGCAGCTCGTTGGCTTGCACAGTGTGATTATCCAAAAGATGGCCTTTGGGAAGAAGTGTTGACCTCTCCGTATGTCTCTTTGTATCTCTCTCTAACTAGTTCTTTTTTTTTTTTTCCTTCTTCCCAGTGAAACCTGAAGAACTTTATGCTTTCTCTTATAATCCTAAAATGTCTAAAGAGAACCGGGAGATTGGATGGAAGCTGATTGATTTAAAAGTAGATTACCAGCGTATGGGAATTCCGAACGACTATTGGGAAATAACGGATGTTAATAAAGACTATGAGGTAATTCTTGCCCAAAGTAGCCATTTAGTGCCGTATCTCTTCTTTGTTACTAATAGCATACAGCAGTCCTGCTGCTGCTGCGTAAGTGATGCCTCTGGGGAAGAACAAGCTCAGTTGGTTTTAATTGAAGCAGCATCATCTTGATGTGAAGTTGCAGATAATGATGCTATGGAAAAACAGAACAGAGCTGCAGAGTCACCTTGGTTTGCTTTGATCCCCCTGGCAGAGTACCAGGTACTTGACATTCCTCTAGAAAAACAAACCATCTGTTACGAAAAACCTGAAGTACCTTTAGTTGCTTTCAGTATTTCCAAACCCGGTCCCGTCAGGCTGGTGACAGATGCGTAGAAGAGAAATAAATGGCAGCAGCTTGGCTTGGTGGGGAATGAGGCAGAGTGGAAAGGGACTAGGTAAGGAAGAAAAAAACAGTAGCCGAAAACAGACTTTTTTTTTTTTTTTTTCTTGCTTGGTTGGATCTTCTGTTAAATAAGGGCTCTCAGTCATTTCAGTCCTAACTGGCTGCTACTGTTATCTTCTTCTCTTTTGCCCCTGCAAGGCCAGATTGAATCTAAAGAACATTAAATGAAAGCATTTTTCAGGAAGCTTACTCAAACTCCTGCTTCGTATTATTTCCCTTTTTATTTCTTCTGATGTTGTCTACAGTCAGATCTTTCTGTCTAAAAGACAGAGCAAACAACTCTGAGGAAGATACCAATATATTAAGTCTCGAATCCCTTCCCCCTGCTCTCCACTCCCTTCCCCCACTAGTTTTCTTTACTGTTACACTTTAGATTGAAGAAATATAAGCCTGTGCTGTCAGAAATGACTGGTAATTTTAAATGACTCTATCTCTGGATGCCTGAATTGAGATATGACGCGAGAGGTGCTTTTTCCATTAGCTGATTAGGGCATCTGAATGTGGGCATCTAAAGTCATTAATCACTTTGAAGCTTTACTTGCTAGTAGGTGACTCTCAAGTGCCAACGCTTTATAATTTCTTCACGGTTTCCAGCTTATGTTTTAAAATCGTCAAGCCTCACGTAAAGCCAGACTTGGAGAATAGCTTATCTGCGAAGTACGTGCTGAAAAGACTGTACTTGCTTGAGGAAAAAGGATAAAGCTGGTCTCTGAGGATGCTACCTGATTGCTGGAAGCTCATTTCAAGTTGAATAAGATTTAAAGGGAACTTTTTAATATAGTTGTTCTTAATTTCTCTTTTAGTGAAAAGTCAGAAACTTTCATAAAATTTATGGATTTCAAGAACTTCCTTTTAATATGTATTGCGTACTGTGCGGTCCGTTCTTTAGGTTCAGTTGCAAAATTGATTGTTTCCTTTACTACATTGTTTTTATTTTGCTCCTGTTCCTGTGTTGTTTTTCTAAATGCATCTTAATGGCTTGAAACTTTAGATGTTGACTACATTAGATACACTGTGGCAAACAGTCTATTCCTGTTGTTTATAAATGCTCGATCATAAGCTAAAGATGAATTTTTCATGAATTTTGAATTGCGAAGTAGTAATATCTGGATTTTTTTCTTTCTTCTTGCTTAGGTTTGCAACACATATCCTCCAGAAATAGTGGTGCCTAAAGCTGCTAATAAGGCAGTGGTGATCGGAAGTTCAAGGTTCAGAAGCAGAGGGCGGATTCCGGTGCTTTCTTACTTATATAAAGAAAACAATGTTAGTTGTTCATTGTCTGCTGTCTTTGTGGGGAGTCAGGGTTCCTCTTCTTGTCCAGTCCCCTTTTAGTGAAAGGAAAGGATGAAGTAATTATTAGCACATTAACTTCATGTTTGAGAACAGTGCTTCTCTTAACGCCTTTAATACTGGTTTGTTCTGAGTCACAGAATGAGCTAGTTAAGGACGAACACTTAGGACGCATCCAGAGCTGTGCGAAAAGCACAAACTTTCCAAGCTTCCTGTCTGGAAATTTTTTTAATCAGCTTTCAGCGATGCCTTGTTGGTATTGGGTTTTTTTAATCTACTGTTTAGCTATATGGTTTTTTTTAATGTTTTAACAAGATACATGTTAACTCAGCTGGATTTTCTTAGTATTGGAGAGGAGGAACCACCCTGAAATAAATCCCCACTAGCTCAGAATAAGTGAAGGTTTCAGTTTGTTTTTTTTCCACTGAAGACCAGAATGTAAATTTTTAACTTTGCTGTCTCAGCAGTGTTTTAGATGCAGATGTTAGGAAAATGCTGTCACAGTCAAATTGTTGTTTTCCTGAGGAAGCATGCCTTGACCTGGGCAACTGTATGGAGTTGTGCTGGCAACTATTGACATTTCCCTCAAGCGTACTCGGTGCAGTTCTGAGCGTGGAACAGTAACAACTGATAAGTGAAGTTGTGGAGAAGAAGGGTTTGGACAATAGAAACCAAGTAGAAAACATGAGAACTGCTAACATTTGGGATACTGATCATCAGGCAGAGCACAGTGGGTTTGAGAACATAGCAGTGAAGTTTGCAGCAGGGCTCCTTAGCCTCACTGCTTTCCCAGACTTCTAGCTTTGAGAAGTATTCCAGTGGTATTTCTGTATGTCCGTTTAAGTAGCCGGTTTTTAGGGAAACAGCGAATAGGGCACTTAAAACCAACAAATTAGTGTTCTTTGGGGCAGTGCAGTAGAGACAATCTGAAAGCAGAAAAATGTGAGGTGTTGTGTGTTGCAGGCTGCCATATGTCGTTGTAGCCAGCCTCTCTCCGGGTTCAGTGCGCGCTGTCTGGAGGATGAACAAATGCTGCAGGCCATCAGAGAAGCCAACCCTGGGAGCCCCTTCATGTATGTTGTAGACACAAGGCCAAAGGTATCTTCATGGGGTTTGTAGCTACTTTTAAAGCTTGCGTCTGAATTAGTAATGCTGTTTTCAGTTCATTCTTTCACAACTCTGCTAATGCTTTCTTATGCTGCATGAGGTTAAATTGTGCCAGTCCTGAATTAGGAGTTCAGGTTATTGGGCTCCTGGTTCAGTGTCTTAATGTCACAAATGCTTACGCGTAATAAACTGCAATGTTGAGTGCTGTTAAGAATGCTTGCACTCGTGGAGTATCCTGGGTTGAGGTTTGTGCTAAGGATGACCCGAAGCAACTGGCAGTCTTGAAGCTGGCTGAGACAGTGAAGCATTTTCCCGCAGAGAGCTGGGTCCTTAATACGCTGAGTTGGAGAGGAGCCTTAGAATTTGGTTCCGCGGGGCTGAAGTGCTTTTATCAGCAGACCTGGGAAGAAGTGGGGTTGTATGGAGGCTGATAACGATGGAGAAAAGCGACTCCTCCATTTTTTTGCCGTTGTAAAAATAACACAAATGTTTCCATGATGTGCAGCTTGGAGTTTAACGCAGTTCAGCTCTTCTGGTCCGTAGCCACTATTTGGGGCTAGAACTTTGTTGCTGAGGTGTTTATGTAAGAGGATATTGAAGAAACATTCGCAAAATGAAATCTTGCATGACTGTTATCTTGAGGAACTCAATTTAGAAACCAACTCAAATGATTGTCTTCTAAGCATATTGCTTGCGAGTGTCAGTATAAGCAAATTAGAACACAAGGATTTTCATAGTACACAATTATGTAAACACAAAGATTTAAATGTGCTCTGATTATTTTAAAATTGAGCTTTCTGAGAATGTGCTTCACTGTTCAGATATTGCAGTTATTTTATAGAAACTACAGATTTAGTTAAACTATGGCAAGGGCAAGAAGGGAAAAAGTCTTTTTGGGAAAACGGAATGTTTCACCTGTTGTTCCAAGATGTATTTTGGCTTTTTGTAGTACGACGTTTCCTAGAGGTACCCTATTCCGTAACTATGTTTGTGGCAATCACTGCATGTTCTTTTGGTCCAGGCAGCTTCCAGTGTCATAGGTGTTCCACTGAAATCTAGCATTGGTGGCAACTTTGTTCTAAAGTATTGGGTGAAAAAGGGAGAGTTTCCAATTGGTGATATTTCTCTTCCTAACACAACATGTCTGGCTCTGAATAGTAGAGCTGAAGCACTAGGGTGTTATTTAGTTGTTCTAAAGTTGTATATACCATATCTGACTCTTCCTTCTCTCCTCTCTAGGGAGGCAAATCACTCCTCTTCCCAAATTAACATGTGGGGGGTTGAGGCGCTCTTTTTCTTGGTCACCACTAAAGATTTTCTGGTAGCTCTTGAACTGTTTTGGGTTAATTGTTAGAGCAGGTGGCTTCTTTTCTACTTCTTTTCTGCAGTTCCAGTTGGTTGCTGTATTCTTTCTGCTCAACTTTAATATTTCTATGTTTCCCTCAGGTGGCTTTATTTCATCTGTGCATGTATGTCTGTGAAAAGCTTTGGAATTCTCTTACTATTTCTATACCACCATGTATGTATGTTACTCGTAAAAATGACTTTCCTAGTTTTACTTTCGTATGCTTCTGTCTGAATCTTTTTACGTAGCTTCACAGTTAGGGCAGACTCAATGTCTCTCTACCTGTTTTGATGACAGCAGTGTTCTGAAATTGGGCACGGTTTTGATGCTGCCTACCCTAAGAAATTCTGTCCAGGGTCTTAATGAGTCTCTGTATATGACTAATGGACTGGAGACACTGGCATAATTTTAGTGAAACAGCTGGAAGTAATGTCTGGGAGGTGGGGAAGTACATCTGTGTAACAATTTGGTTCAGTATATTTTCTGGGAGATTTTAAAGAAAGAAGGATTTGCAAACCAGACTCTGTTTATTTCTGCGTATTGTTTGTGGTAATTTTCTCTCTTTCTTTTCTGTCCTGTTCCTGTTCCCTTGAATTTGACAGTTAAATGCCATGGCCAACCGAGCTGCTGGGAAGGGTTATGAGAATGAAGATAATTATGATAACATTCGCTTTAAATTTATTGGCATAGAAAACATCCATGTGATGCGGAACAGCTTGCAGAAACTCCTGGAAGGTAGGTACAGCCCGTGCAAGTGGCCAGTCTTCGTTACCCTTGGCTACTTTTGGACAGAACCTTTTGCTGAATATATAAACCCTATGTGCGCAAGTGGACATGGGTGTCCTGATGTAATCAGATAAGCAAAGTCAGTATCTTACTTTGTTTGCTGTATTGAAGTAGCTGAAAGTATTAATGTTGTTAAACTGCTTTCCTGCTAGACATTTTATTTATTGTTGTGCTTAGTTTTATAGTGGTTCAAAAATAGCAACTAATACTAACAACATGCCTTAATTGTGCTAGTTACATAAAATGTGAATTTCTTAAATGTGCCAAATTAAAAGAAAAAGGCTAGAGAAATATTATATTTTACCGTTAAGGTAGTCTCGTCATTGCTTTGTGAGCTATTGAAAGAAAACTAGCATAGGTTGTTGAGGAAATATTCTTCTGGGGTTTGCTATGTTTAGTTTATTTCGGTGTTAAACAGTATTTCTGATTTGAAATAAAATTTTGGCATGATCTTCCAAAGACTTTAATCTCAAATGAAAAATAAGAACTATGTACATATATTTCTGATTTCTTTAACTGAACTTGTTTCATCGAAATACATCGAAATGTATTAAACTAATGTTTTAATACATTAAAATGCAGAGTAGCTCAGGTAATTAAGCTACATTGTGAGACTGTAATCTTAGGGGAAAAATGCGAAGCAGGGCAGAAGAAATACTTACCTGAGCCATTGGAGATCGAGGTGAATCAGGCCCATGTTTTCACGAATGTAATTTTGGAGAAGTTCCATTAAAGGTGATGGCATAGCTTGGATCAAACCAGCATACTCTGATAGCTGGTTTCCAGCCCCGTTACCATCCTTGTGCTGACAAAGACTGCGGAACGGGGCAGAGTAGATGCTGCAAATCATTCTGCTTGCTCCCTGTGCTTCGTTTTCTAAAATGTAATACAGGTGCTGTCATTCAAAATATGAGTTTAATATTTTAGTAACCAGCGTAATGGTCATCTTGCTTCAAAATAGTTGAATAATTGATGCTACCAATTGCCTGGCCAGGTAGCACTGCAGGATCCGTGGTGACCTTGGAGAAAAATGAGGCTATTCACGCGACCAAGAGATTGGCCTGATAACAAGTATAAGTCCTTAATTGCCTGTTCCTGGCAGATTTATTTTGTGGTGGAAGAAGAGGCGGAATAAATACTTGTTTACCTCCGTATTCTTCTTTGACAGTGATAAAATCTCTCTCGCTGGTGCTTACGGACTATTGAACTGTATTACTCTAAGTATTTTCTATGCTGGCTTTCAGTATAGCATCTGAGTTGCCTTCAAGGTTAGACATGTTATTTCTCTCTCTAAATCAGAACTCTCCTTTCTTCAAATCTTTGTGATGGTGACTGCATGTTAGTGGTTTAGATGTGTGTGCAATGGTGATTTATAGTGAAGTAACAGATCACTAAACACTTTCTTTTGTTGGAAAAAACTCAGCTGAAAAAATAGTGAGTTACTCTTTAAAGAAAGAGGAGGATATTTTCATATCCTCAAGTTCTCTCATAGCTAAAAATTGCTGGTTTGTGTATTTAAGTACGCAACCAGTAGTTTCTGTGTCCTTTCGACAGAATGTTGCTGCTGACACTTAAAAAGTGTGGAAACGTTAGCTTTTAGGATCTACCAAGCTCTGTTGCTGTGAAGAGATAATGAGGAGGTGGGAAGAAGAGAGAGATGTTGTTAACAGTGTCAGCTAATTCCTTTGTTTGTGTTCCTAGTGTGTGAAACGAAGTCCCCCTCCATGAGCGATTTCCTCACTGGGCTGGAGAACTCAGGTTGGTTACGGCACATTAAGGCTGTGATGGATGCAGGTGTCTTTCTTGCCAAGGTAAAACTGTACCCCAACCTGCAGGTGAATTAAAAAATCTGTACTTGTCTGTTAGGGAGTGCTCCAAGGCTGTGAAGTTCTCTCTGGAGAGAAGGTGGGAAAACATTGCTATTCAGGTTGGCCTCAGCTCTCAAAAACAAGCCTGCAGTTGGAGAACATCAAGTGGGTTACCCAGCTGGCGCTCTCCTAGACCCTTCCCACGACTAAATGAAGTGCCATAGGGTTGGGGACGCTGTCCTGTTCACTGCGTTGTAACAAGCAGTTATCTAGGCTTTATTAAAACTCATTTGAAACAAATAAAATCACAGAATGTGAATAAATGACCTTTATAAATGTCTCTATATAACGCATGTTTAGCAGTGCAAACAACTCGTAACCTTGTGCTTGTTGGTTATTGAACAGCTCTGCTTTGAACGAGGGATTGTTTAGAGCAGTTTATTTTCTCCTGGTTCAGTGTGATGTGGCGGCTGCTAATTTTGATTATTCAACGCAGTCCTCATTTCTGCAGAGCTTGTGGCTTTGCAGGTCAGGCCAAAGGAGAAAAGTCAGAGGCACGTGGCTCTTCAGTAGTAGTAAAGGGCACGCAGGCAACGTGTGGCAAGAGTAGTGACCTTCCGTAAACGTTGTCTCTTCTCTCTTAAAATTGTCCCCTGTGGCAAGCAATTTTCCTGTGTTTTTCTCTTCTGCCACCAGTACAAGGGGAAGAAGGTGATCCATGTGGGAGGAAGTTGGGATGAGCTCTTCTAATTTTTCTTGAGAAGTTCCTAGTCCCCATGTGTCCAGTTGTTAGTCTTTACTCATCCACCAAATTTTTCCTCAGAGGAGGGGACTGAGAATTCTTGGCCTTTCAGAAGACTGAGCATTTTGAGATCACAGGGCCTTTGTTTCTTGACGGTCTGTGTTGCTGACAAGGCATGCTACAGCATTTTGTTCTAGTTGGGGTCTCCTATGGGTTGATGGCTGTGTGCCAAGAAATGGTGAATTTCCATGGTCCAGATGAGAAATGACAAATTCTCCTCTTGGCTTTTAGGCCAGTCAGGTAAACGCAGGTGAAGGGATAGTATTTAATTACAGTAACCAACCTAGAAAGCTGCTCAACTGTTCTGTCTGGTCTCTCCTTCACAGGCTGTGAAAGATGAAAAGGCTAGCGTGTTAGTCCACTGCTCCGATGGGTGGGATCGCACAGCGCAGGTCTGCTCCCTGGCTAGCCTCCTCTTAGATCCATTTTATAGGACTTTTAAAGGCTTCATGGTAAGAACACTAATGTTGGAATTTCAAAAATAGAAAATGCTTCCTGGATTTGAAATGTAACCAGACCCTAATTAAATGTTTTAGGCCATTTCCTGGAACAAACAGTAGGTGACCTATATAAAACCAGCTTCAATTCTATAAACAAATTTTAATTGCCCTGAACAGCATGGGCACAAAATGGCAGCTGTTGATCTGCAATTCCCAAGTCTTTGTTTCCTTGAGTGTCCACATGAGAACCGCTAATGAGACATTTCAGCAAGAGATGAGCGAGCAAAGGATGCGACTCTGGGAGCAATCCTCAAAAAAGTGAAGCAGCTTGTCATTCAAGACTGTTACAGTGAATGGTCTCTTATCTGCTAGGATTTAAAATTGAGTGAACTCATTCTTGTGCACAGGGCAGCATATAACCTGTATATCACGTAAAATCCGTGCATCATTTAAGACCTTTTTTAAAGCCATTACACATGAATTTGGCCGTTTGCTTCTATTGCGGGTTTTTTCTTGTTCGAAGCCATCACTGCGTACATCAGTGATGTTATCTTTCCATTCATCTCCTTTTGTTAAATACGTGAAAGACAGGCTGCTGCTCTTAGAGTTCCTTAAAAGAAACCTTCAAATCGGAACAATGCAAATTTTGTCTCCTCCAATGTGTTGTACTGCTAGGACTGTTTCCTTGCATTCTGTGCTATTTTTAGTAGTATTACTATTTTTGCTTCTGGATTATACTGCAATCTTTTAACAATTAAAATTACATCAGAGTGTGAAGCATCTGCCTGGGCTTTGTTTGTGCTCTGGACAATTCTGTATGAACCAAGGAACGTGATTTTGATTAGGAACAGGAGCAGTAAGTAAAACAGACAAGTGCTTGTCTGTCCTCGGAGCAAATGGCTTGTATGCACAAATGCTATGACAGCGGTTATTCCTAAATGAATGCAACAGAAGTGTAAAGAATGGAAAGATTTGCAAAGCAGTGTAACTTAAGTTTTCAAAGAACTCTGTTGTGAATTTCTGTCTTCCTTTTTTTCAAGTTTCTGGATGATGGTATCAGGAATTGATCTTTAAATATGATCCAGCAAGGCGAGTAACAGTGGATTCGGCATCAGTCATTTCGTTCCTTATGAGACCTGTGTTTAAGGAAAATACTGCTTCCTTGTTATTTTCTTATATATAGCACAGGCATTCTATTTAAAAGAGAAATAACCATATAGTTCTTCTGATGTCATCCTGAGCTCCTCAATACCCAGATGTAGTTCTTACATTCCTATTTGTGTGTTAAACATTTGTTGAATTCCAGTTGCTGATTTATTTTGCTGACTATTATGATACTCTCTTCCGAATTAAATAGCACATAATGTAATACTAAGCTGTTAATTCTTTTAGCTTGGTGTGTTGATATATTATGATTTTAACAACATAGAAACTCCCTCAAAATAGCACTAGACTTGCTTGAAGTAACTTCTGATTCCAACAGTGATGTCGTACTGGGAACTGTGGATAAGCTATAAATCACTGTTACTATTTTCATTGACTTTTATGGATAGACTCGTAACAATAGGGTCAGCAGGTAGCGTTGGTTGTAAGCTTTTTAGAGTTTAACATCAAAGGCTTCATTTTGCTTTTTGTAAACAAAGTAATGTTCTTTTTTTTAACCTCTTTCAAAACTGAAGATTCTAATAGAAAAGGAGTGGATTGCAATGGGCCACAAGTTCTCACACAGGTAAGAAGAGCGTGGTATCTTGGGTGTAGCGACTGGGTGAAGGTTTGACTGTGAAACTAATACAGTGTTTTCAGGTTCGTGTACTCCCGTGAAAAATTTAAATGAAAATACAGGACAGAGGAGAGAAGAGTTGGAAAATACTGGAGTTGGTGACGTAAAGCCAGTATCTGCTAGGGTTGTTATTTTATCAGTGCTTTTTTTTTTTTTATTACTTCACAAAATCATAGAGTCTTGAACAAATTATTTGAATTCCGAGTGTTTTCCTACCTGTAAAATCGCATTCGTATTACATGAGGAGCGCTAATGTTCTGGCAAGACATGTTGATTCTTCTGCAATTGTGTCCTGGAAGAAAATCGCAGCTAATGTTTTTCAGGAGTTTTACCAAGTTCAAAGCATAAACTTGAGCCCAAAACAGTGCTAAAACCCAATTTGACCTGCATTCTCTAGGCAGATTAAAAATGCTGTCATTCCTGTAATTGATAGCCTGCATCTACTAGGGATATTACCTCGAATTACTACTTGTTACAGTTGCCATATAGAAATTAGAAACTGAGATGGTCCAAAAGAATACGAGGAGGGAAGGGACCGGTCTGTTCAGTGATATTAGCTTGTTAAAAATTGAAGCTTTGTTCTTGATGTAAAGCCGATTCCTGTTTTTAATAATAAAGGAAATCTATTTCCTTAAAGCATATCTGGGGAAAATAAGCAATATGCACACCCTTATACTGGTGTATAAGAAGCAGCAGTCAAAGATAAACTGCTGTTTGGTCATTATTGGCCAAATAAATGTTCTGTGGTCATTGTTTCTGCTTCTTTAGGGATTCTTTTCACCTTTATTGCTTTAAGACACACACACCCCCCAAAATGCTCCTATTCTTCTATTATAAAGGATTGTTCCAAATATGAGAACTTGGCAATGGATACAAAAAGTACTTGAGACACGAATTTCAGCTTTGACTGTGAGAATATAAACTTCTATTCCAGTAGACAAAAATCGTTCCTCTCGTAGTGGTGGCCGGTGCCTTACAGTTCTGAGGGAAATCAATCCTCCTTCATGCTGCTGCTTAGGGCGTTGGGGTTGGAATCACAGGGCCAGGAACTGGGGCTTGATCAGCTAGATCTCCATCATAAGAAATCTTACTTCATTTTTCCACTTAAGTTTGGGGATGCCTTGGTTTTTTTTGTGGACTTCCAGGTTATACCCCTTCCTAGAAAAGGAGGATTCTGCCCCAGGTTTTTTCTCTTAAGAACAAACAGTCACTACAGTACAATAATGTACTATTTGGTTTCTTTCCAAAAATGCTATCATTCCTTTTCTGGTTGTTTTTTCTGTTGTGATGGATTGTAGTGAACACCAATAGATCCCTGGCTAGATTTTTGCAAAACTGGTAGGGTTTTTCTGAACTTCATCTAAAGCGGTAAAAATATTTTTCATTGTTGTTTTGGAGTTTTCTTTGTTTGAGGGTTTTCTGTTTTTCTGTCTGAGTAATTGCCTACCAGGATTTTGTTCTTGATGTCCCCATGGAGCAAAATCGGGCTGTTCTGACACTTGCTGCCTGTTGTGGCTATGCCTGCACCATAAAATACTCTCGCATCCATAGAAGATTGTGGAGGACGCTTTCTCCGCCCCTGCAACCGTTTCTTGTTGTTCCTGGCAGAGAGACAGAATCCCACCACTGTCAACTGTTTTTCCCCAATTAAGGGCTAGCATTAGTTCCTTACATTCGAGCAATATATTTTTCTTTGGAGAATATTGCCTTTTTTCCCTTGTGCTAACATCATAGCATAGGCTCAAGGATTCACAATTATTTCTTGTGATCCTTGCAAGTCTGTTAAGCAGGCTCTTCCATGGCTAATTTTACTTTAGAGAAAGGGACATCGCACAATTCTCATCACTCCTACCAGGTGCCCTTGGAGAACGAGTAATGCCGAGGGTGGCACATCTTAACGTACAGTTGCTGTAAGATAAACCACATGGGTTTTTTTCTGACTCTGCAGAATAATTTCTTATTCTAGTAGCGAAGAAAACTTGCTAGTTGCTTAATGGCGATGGGATTCTTTTTTTGTTGGGTGACACGGGATTTAACTCAGGTTTGTTCGCATCTCTAGGTGCGGCCATTTGGATGGTGACCCCAAAGAAGTCTCCCCTGTCTTCACTCAGTTCGTTGAATGTGTCTGGCAGCTCATGCAGCAGTTCCCGTGCACATTTGAGTTTAATGAGCGTTTCCTTCTTGAAATCCACGACCATGTCTACTCCTGCCAGTTTGGGAACTTCCTTGGCACCTGCCATAAGGAGCGTGAGGATCTGAAGTGAGTTGACAGTTTATAGGGCCAACAGTCTAGAAGTCACTGTAAATGTCAGAAACAGGGCAGGTTCGGTGTGTTGGTGTGTTTTTAATGTAATTGTAGATTGGTTAAGGGTAACATCGTCTTGATAGATGCTTATGTTCTACAGTGTGAAAAAACTTATAGATTAATTATTGCCCCAAAGTCAGATGTTTTAATTTGGACCACAGTAATAACTTGCAGATACCCCTTTTGGATTGGATAGTGTCCATTTTAAATGATTATATATTCTTCAGTGATGTATCTTGTGTTTATGAAATTAATCAGATACTGTGTAAAAAAAAAAAAAATTCTTAGCTCCCTTAATCTAATTCTACTCAGAACAGCTAGCGTTAATAATCCACTTAACTTGGTTCTTTTTTAGTGATTAGATGTTATTTGTAATTGACAGAATCTTTGAGAAGACCCATTCTCTATGGCCTTTCCTCTTGCAGAAGAAGCAGGAATTGAGAAATCCTTTGTACAGAGGATTTACAGCTTACAAAGAGCTTCAACCAAACACACTACCTTTCAGTTTCCAGTAAGTTGCTTATTTAAGAAGGGGGTGCTTCTTTGATTGTGATGTAGATTGGTAATTTAGGTTTAATAAAATAAATTTTCACTGATTAGCATGGTGTGTTTTACCTTTCTCCTCCATTCTTCATTCGTAAACTGAGAGTAGTAGTGCACAGGTAATTGCTAAATAAATGCAGGTCCTGTAATTTAAAATAATATCTTTTCTTTGCTATTGAGAAAGAGGGTGGGGAGAGGCAAGGAAAAGAACTTCAGATGTGTAGATAGACCCCCCCACACACCCCCCCTGACTGCTTGCTCTGTCAAATTTACATGATGGGGTAGGCAATTGTTAAAGCAAGTTCCTCCTTTCCTCCTTTCTAATATATATATTAAGGAAGTCTTTCAGACAGGAATTTCAGTGCCCAGTCACACCCAGGCTTGTGCAGTCAGGGTGGTTTTCACAAGAAGGGATTTCTTGTTGCCATGTCTGTTTGCTTGCCCAGGGTGTTACAGCTGAAGTGGTTGGTTTTGCTTTGTTTCTGGCTCACTCCTGTTCCCTACTGAGAGAGAAGGGGATGCAAATTTGGTTTTAAGTGCTGTGTGTGGTTACTGGCAGGCAAAGGGTTTTAATAAAAGTAGGGAGCTAGGGCAAACTGAGGACTTCAAGGTGGACTACCCAAGCCTCCAGTGCACCTGCTATAGAAAAAAGGATATTTTGTCCTATGTTAATACCTACTGCCAGTGCATGGGGATCATAAGGCAGAAGTACTTAAATCCTCAGAAGTTTTTTTAACTTTATGAAAATTTGCCCATTGAAACTGAATTTTACAATCCAAGGTTGTAGCAGTTTTTTAAAATCAATTATTAATCTCAATTTGTTGAAAATTTTTTTTCTTAAACAGCATCGAGTTTGTGGCCAGTAGTGTACAATTGGCTGCCTAATTCTCTTTTCTTGCCCTGTTCTTGAGGTTTTGGTGTGGGATGTATAATCGCTTTGACAAGGGAATGCATCCAAAGCAGTGTGTATTGGATCATCTGCTAAGCTGTGTGAGCCAAAAGATGAAACTGGAGGACAATGCATCTGAACTGGAAAATGTGAGTCCTGAATCTTAATAATATTTAAAATCACATGATGGTTTTGGCAAATATAACTGGGATTGAACATTGGCACTGAACAATTGTTTCAGCGTGCTGGGCAGAGCTGGGCAAAATGAGGGGTTAAATGACACTGCTGTAATAAATAGGTTTGATTACCCAAAATTCTCATCTGCTAGGTAAAACCTGTGTTGGGTCAAGTTGTGTTGCAGGGTCGTGATGTTCTAATTCTCTAAATGAAGCAGGTGTTAAAAGAACATCTGGGTTTCAACTCCACTTCCAGCAAACTTCAAAGGAGAGGGAGAGAAGAAAAGAATGAGCCTGCTTCCCCCCCCGTGAATAATATGAATATACAAAAATATTCTTGTTCTCAGTTCACGCCCACGTTTTTCTTTCCCACCTTCTCATTCACAAGACACATTGGAAAAACCAACGATCAACCAGGTGTTAAAACAGTGGAGTTACTTAAGTTGGCTTTCATGTAATGGCCAAAATGTGACTGGATCGTGTAGGCTGAATTATCCTCTAAAAGGGGCTACCTCGGATCTGAAATGCTTCGCTAAAACAAGATGGGGAATCTTCCATGTTTACTACTTGTGTTCTGTGTTATTGGAGGGCAGAGATGTGGTGTCCAGAATAACCAATTTCTCTCCTTTGATCCAGAATAATAAAGTAAGCAGCAACACCCTTCACAGTTTGGTCAGTTCTGCTCAGATTCCCCAGAGAGCTCTGTTTGTCCATATGGGATGTAGATACCTCTCTCAGCAGTGTGAGACAGGAAGAAAAAAAAAAAAAAAAAAAAAAAAAAAAAAAAAGTAGATAGTCTTGTTAGCTTTTGAAGTGCTGTAGTTTTGTGTTGCCATATGCATGGGGTCTGGCCGAGATGGAGCTCAGTTTCCCCCCAGCAGCCCTCATGGCTCTGTGCTGTCTGTCGGCAGCGAAGGCTGTTGATAACACACCGGTGGTTTGGCATCAGGGCTGTCCCTCCAGCGTTCCCCCTCACCCGGTAGCCTGGGGGTGGGCGAGATCTTGGGAGGGGAGGCAGCCAGGACAGCTGACCCAGACTGACCAAAGGGATATTCCAGACCATATGGGGGTCTGCTCAGCAATAAAAGCTAAGAGAAAGGAGGAGGGGGGAGGCATTTGTTGTTACGATGTTTGTCTTCTGGAGCAACCCCTGCGCTTACTGAAGTCCTGCTTCCTGGGAAGTGCCTGGACATTGCCTGCTGATGGGAAGTAGAGAATAAATCTTTTGTTTTCCTTTGCTTCCATGTGCAGCCTTTCCTTGTGCTTTATTAAATTGTCTTTATCTTGACCCACGAGGTTGGTTTTTTCCATCTTACTTTCTCCCCAATCCCGTCCCGCTGAGGAGGGGAGCGATAGAGCAGCTTGGTGGGCACCTGGCGTCCAGCCAGAGTCAACCCACCACAGTCCTGTACAGCTGCCTGAAAGGAGAAGTGTGGCTTTTCTTTGTGCTCAAGGCTCTACTTGCAATATCCTTTTTATGTGTATTAAAAAAAACCCAAACCACAAACAAACCAAAAAACCCGTAAAAATACAGTAGTGGGAGAGACATCTAAAAATACACCAGTGAGAAGACCGATCAGTGTCCTTTGCTAGGTTAATGTGAATGCTGAAAACTTTAGTTTTATTAATTAAACAATGATGATTGTGTCAAACATGTAAGGATCTATGCCCATGTACTTTAACGCTGGATTGCAGAGCTGAAAAAGAAGTGCTGACACAGGACTATTACCTTGACAGTTGTTTCTTGTATATCCCTGACAACTGGGAATAATAGCTTTTTATCATCTTTTTTTAATCTTTAGCTTTTTAATCTTTTTATTTGTGTAGAAACTTCCCTTCCTTGATGGTCCTTTGCCCAGTGAAGCTTGCTCCTTATCTAAAGTAGGATACGCTGCTTCAAAAACACCGATGCTCAACACTCCTCAGGATTATGAAGTGGAACCCCCTCCTGCGTTAAGCAACGGCGCCTCAGCAGGGGATGTAGATGTTGTGTCAGATGTGGACCGAAAGCACAAGGAGAACCTGTTGCATCACCAGGGCCTCCACGATCTTAGTGACGCCATTGATGTTTTGGACTCCAAAGCCAAGGAGGGAAAGCTGCAGCACCACTGATGGGCTCTGAGAAGCGTGGCCGACGAACCAGGCGCTTGTGGTGGTGAGGCATAAGGGAGCTGTGCCCCCGCGAGGGTGTAGACCACCAAACCATTTACAGCTAAGCTGCGTACATGTGTTTGCAGGGAGCTGTGCTCGCTGTAGAGAAGACAGATGATGAAGATGCGTACAGAGCTGCCCAGAAGGCTGCCTTGAGTTAGCGTAAACCTTATTTTTCAGTGGAAACATGATGTGTGTGTAAGGTTTGTGACTGCCTGCCAGTAATGGTATTTCAAGCTTAAAGAAAGCTTGGCCAGTAAACATGGGGCTTAGGAGCTGTGCAGTGTTTATAACTGGAGTAGGAAAGATGCAACCCATTTATTCTCAGTGGTGGTGCAAGGTCATCTTAAAATGATAAAAAGTTTCAACTCATCTTAAAATTATTAAAAAAACCAAAACCCTTTTCTTAGCTGTGAATGAATCTCTGCATGGACCCTCACCTTGTGGCAGAATTGATTCATTTTTTTGTTTTCTATGCATATTTGATAAACAAAACCAAACCCCCCTGTGCCTTTTTATGGAGACCATTTTAATGTCTAGCCATGCAACGTACTATTTTTATTGTTGTAGTGTAGAGTGTAGTATTTGGTTGTCTTTGTAGTCAGTATTTTTAAACAAGGCTTTTTTTTATCTGCTGCCGGCTTCTCCAGGATCTTTGCCTATCCCCTGAGTTTAGTAGCTTCTTTCTAAGCCGACCTTTCAAAAAATAAGCTTTTAGGGACCTCATTTAGTGATTGTGAGAGTGCAGCAAGCCACAAAGACAGCCTGTAACACATGAATTTTTGACAGAGGGAGGATTAGAAATGAGAAAAGATAGGAGAAAATTTATATGGAATTTTTCTCTCTTGTTTTGTGATCTTGGTTGAATTGAAGCAAGGGAGTAACTCTTTGTTCTAAGCTGGAATCGGTATGCTTCCCTCGCATCCATCCACGAGGCAGTAATTACAGATGAGGTGTGTTCCGTTACTGAATTGGGGCCTAAAATGATTACTTCACATCCCATGCTGAGTGATTATCGTGAATGTTATCTCAGATGTTAAAATTACATGAACCTTAGAGATGTTTTGTCTGTACTGTCAAGACACGGGGACCTGAACAACATCTCTCATGGCAATGAACTTTGTAATTTTGTGAAGCTGGTGACAAAACGTAAATTGGGATGTGACCCCTTATTGGACCAAGAAGCGGACATCTTGGCTCATGACTGTGGCTCCAGCTTGGGTTCACTCCAGTGCTCGTTAACACTACTTGGTTTCTTTAAACTGCAGTAATCTCAGCTGGAGAGACTAGTTCAAAGTTGCAGGTTTAAAACAGAGACATATATTCCATTTATACAGAAGTCTTGTGAAGAAACAAGGGCTTGTCTCCCCAGGGAAATGGATGGCCCAGGAAAGCTGTTCTACAGGACTTGTTCTGGACAAGCTTGTATAAATGCGCTTAATTGCACAGGGAGTCCCTTTGTGCAGCTTAATTCAAGATGCTTTTCTGCTTTCTTTTGGATCCTCCTGTTTAAATTAGATGCTGCCATTAGGTCTTAAAATCAGTTTTTCTCTTTTATAAAATTTTGAAACAAGCTGAAAATACTTGCCATGTTAGCCCTCCCGATCTCCCAATGAAAAGGAGAAACATTCCATTATAGCTTCGTAAAATGCAATAGCCACTGTTTGTATGCTTGCGACCGATGGTGAAATGATTGGGTTAGTTTCAGTGTTCAAGATAAAAGTAGAAAAGAAAAAAACCCAAAATTGCCCTGAGTGTCTCACTTTGGGTAAGGAAATACATATTTCATTAAGCCTATCAAAAGACCCAAGGAAAAGGGGCAGTACCTGAGAACACGGCATTTTTTCAATGCCTAGAATGGCAAAGAGAAACGTTTTTTTAATGTTGCAGGTTTTTCAATCTTAAAGCAAGTAACGTAGTTGCTTTCAAGGTAGGAGTGAGAGAACTACGGTGTGCGATTGATTTAAAAACTAAGCACATAAAATACTGAACCAGGTATGCTTAAGCAGAAGACGTTCGAAATTTGTTGCGTGGGTATGTATCAAAAATACTGCATCGTGCAACAGCTATGTATTTTATTTGGAAGGGTGCACGTTTCTGAATGCATCTTTTCTTAATCTCAAGCTGAATATCTGCTGTTGAGTCTCTTTGCTCCTAAAAAGAGATCTGCTAACCTCCTAACGTTAAATTAGATAGTCTACCAGCCTTTTAAGTTTGCCGTATCCACGTACCCCTCAAGTGAAGAGGTTGCACCCTAAATCTTAATCAATCTACTCTAGCTAACCAGCGTTCGGAATCTGCTGTAGATTTCCACTGGAGGGTGCTGGCGAGATTATTTCCCTTTGCCTCTTCGTAGTGTAAAAGCTCAATTTCACACGTGCGCTTTGCAGTTTCGTATGGACTGATAGGTCAGCCCTGTCTTTTCTTTCTAGCTGGTAGAAGAGTGTAGCGGGTAGTATGCACAGCTTCTGAAATAGAGAACTCCCAAATGGTAAACGCGACCAAGACAGGCACTTTTTAGGACCAGTTATTCTAGATGTCATCGGTTCTTTTGATGTATTCTCTAATTAAAAAGAGAGATACGGAATTGTAGAGAATTTTGACTGCCCACTGAAGGATTTAGACATACCATTGGTTAATCTTTGTATAAAAACATTTTGCAGAAGGTTTCTATAAATGTTTACGGATTGCCTTGTCTTTTGAATTACTATAGATTACCTTGAAAAAAGTAGAATAATCTTTTCTGATCCCTAAAACGTGATGCTGACATCTCCACAAATCCCTCTTGACTACGATATTACTACAGGTGCATGTAACCATGAAAAGATTACTTCATACACTGAAAGTATTAGTAAGCTTTTAGTAATCTTGCTGCTTTTGATTTCAGTAACAAAACAATGGATGACTTTATACTTCGAAATGCAAAACCTAGCCAAAAAAAAAAAAGGTAATGGTCTGTCTTTTTAAAAGACTCTTGGATTTAATGTATACAGACCTGGTCAAAGTCTACAACATATTAAAAATCAGTCATGCTGGTGCTGTAAATTTATGGAGCTGGGAAAGATTCCAGGGTTTCCTGGCTTTCCATGAGGTTATTTGTTTGCAAACCGATTAGCTAGAAGCTTTTTAGTTTTGATGGTAACTCTTGTGTGTTTCAAGACCAAAAAGGAAGAGCTGTTCAAAGCGGTGCAGCGTGTCCTCAGGTCTGTGGTCGGCTCGGATTTGCTTCCCTGCAGAAAGCCTGTGCTCACTCGTTACGGGGCGCCCTGCTGACAGTGGTGAGCGAGTTGATCGTATGTTCCTTAAAAGTGTTAACAGAAATCTAAAAGCTGTTACGTAGGAATCTTCTTGTGTAAGCACTGTGTGGGTGAAAAGTTACTATAACTTATTTATTCCTAGTGGAGCATCCATGCGTTGTGAAGTCGCAAATGCTCGTTTTTATTTGGAGCTGTTAGCTGAACAATGCAGCTTGCTGCTTTCCATTTGGATTCCTCTGACTGGGAGAACTGGGAGGGAGGAGGGATCCTGTTTGCTGTGCATGGGCTCTGTTTATGTAAAACTCTTCCTTTGCTGGAGCACTTCTTGCTTTACCAAGATACTCCACGGTATCGTGGTTTCATGCCTGCACGTAGTCTTTCTTGCTACAAATAGGTACAGCACTGCAGTGGGCGAGTGCCTGTAACATTCTGCGTTAAAGCTGCTACTTTGACGTAGAAGAGGGACTCGTGTAGCTTTATTTCTCGGTTGAAATGTCTTAATGTGATCTTCACAGCGCTGGATTCTTAAATTGTATTTTTGTTTTGCAGTTGTCACCTGTGGTAGAGAAAATCCAATCGGTGCTGTTTGCTTTACAGGAAAAAAAGGGAATAATTGGTTTGCCCATAGATGTTGTAGTTGTCAGTTGGCCCGCTTTCACGGGAGAGAAAAAGCAGTTTGTTACAGCCTATGGGCATAGCGTACTTCTAGCTGCATTTGCTGTTACTGCGCTTAGTGGATGCCTTTCATTTAAGCGCTTAGCAGAAAAATTCACCTGCTACGTGAGTGCTCACTGGTGCATGAAGCTGCCCTGACTGGGATGGAGAAGGAGACTTGCTTGGAGGTAGCTGGTAAGCCTCAGTTTCCCCAATAAGCTTCTCAAGTCCTGGCGAGAGGGATTTGCTGGGAGCTGGAGGTGCGCAGAGCGTCACAGGATCTCTGCCTTGAGTTAGCCCTTGTTGGGTTCCAGGTGCAGAGCTCCCTGTTGGTGAAGGGCCCCTCTGTGTCTGTTGTTCCCATCGGGTTTGGAGATGGTGAGCCCTAGCAGGTGCTCAGAAAGCACCCTCGCATCTAACAAAGCTGCAGCGCCTGCAGGGAAAGCGTTTCAAAGCGCTCTTGTGCCAGGCGCTGCTTCGGTTCGCTTTCTGGCAAAACTGGTCTCCGGGTAGCCTCAGCGCCTGCCGGCTGCACCCCCAAAGGGATCGTTTCGTGGCACGATTTAGTAACGAATATTCCCGAGTGACCAGGAGAATTCAAAATGTGTCTGCTGTTCTGCTCTTCTCCCCTTCGCCACCGCTCTGCGTTGAGTGCTGGGGTCCTTTTTTTGTACGGCCCTAACGCAGTTACTCCTTGTTTACATACTGTCCCTCTTGCACATATAGGCACTTCCCATGCCTTGGGGTGGAGTGGGGGGAAGAATCTGTTCTGAATGTAGTAGTTTCGTTTTAATTAATACACAGCACTTGATTAATTAGATGAGGAATGTCTCGAACCAGGTGATGTTAAGTCCATGCTTTCGTAAGCATCTTTAGCACTAAGAGCAGCCAGGGCGGTGCCAGTCGCAGTCGGTGTGATTTGTTAGGGCAGGTATTGTAACGTACAGCGCCGCGTCCTTTTGGCATCTCTGAACTACAAAAGCAATGCAGAAAGAGGGTAGGTTAAAATGGTTGACCTAAATCTCTTCTCATATCGGTTATCTATGTCTA